TGTATGGATGACTAATGCCTTTGTTGTTCAGAAATATACGCCCCGCCCGTTTCGGGGCGCAACATGTATTTCAAGGACATATTCATAAGTCCTACCCGTACCCGATATTGTTTATGTTTGACATATTTATATGTCCCGCTCGGTTAACAGGCTAGAGCCCTTTATCCCTACTACAGTTCATGTGCATTATCCCATTTAATTCATAACACAGTCTAAATAGCCTAACTTCTACATTTCCTAATTTCCTAACCGAGCTCAGTGCTCAGTCCCTGATGCCTGCGATGCCAGGGTGGGAGAGACCCAGGGAAAGCTGGTATGGCCCAATTAACACTTTTTTGACCTGCCTGAGGTTCAAGTCCCTCTGCTGTTTGCTGGCTCCCCAGCAGCCCTGTCTGAGCTGTTGCCATCCTTCACTCCTTCATCTCACCCCCACTGAGTCTCAATGAGACTCACTTTTAAATATATATATATTTTATTGATTTCAATAAAAGAGGAAGGAAGAGAGAGACAGGAACATTATGAGAATCACTGATCTGGCTGCCTCTTGCATACCCCACAATGGGGACTGAGTCTGCAACCTGAGCATATGCCCTGACCCAGAATCAAACTGTGACTTCTTGGTTCATAGATCAACTCTCAACCACTGAGCCATACAGCTGGTGGAGACTTCTTAATTAGTATAGGCATTCTTTGCCTTTATCCTGAAAAAAAAGCCCAATCTCCTTCAGGGGCTAAGTAAGGATCAGCTGAGCATAAACATTAGGATTACGTATTGTTGTGCAAAGGGCTGGGGTCCCAGAAAACCTCAGCCTACTGTTCTTGGATCCCAAAGACTAGCTGTCAAACACATGGGTTTATTGGGGCTTAAGTGCGCACCGGTGGCCACTGGTGCTGGGGCAGTTTACTGTGGCACCAGCTGCCACCAATGAAGCTGATCTGCCAAGTCCCGTACAGCCTTCGGCAGGCGGTGCTGTTGTTTCGCCACTACCAAACACAAGGTTTTATAGAGTACAGTACAGAAAACAGAGAAAACCAGGGCACGCAGAGGGAGGGGGATGTGTTTTTGCACAAGCTGTGTGAGATCAAAACTGCCAGCTGTTTTTTTGGTCGAAGAGCTGGCTAGGCTTCCAAGATCTCAGCATCCCCTTACCGACGGCCTTCCTCATCTTCCCACGGGCTGGGAGAGGGAGTTGGAGCCTGGGAAGGGGGCCCATGTTCCCATTTACCATACATGTTCGTTAAGGCAAATCATGAACCAAAGGTCGTAATTACAGGAAATGTTTTCGTCGCAACAAAATGAAGATCCTTCTAATAACACAGTTGTTTATACCCAGAGTGTGCTGGTGGCGAGGGGAGGCACTGTTGGGTAGCAGTCTCCCATCCCTGCAGCAGCTCCCCCACAGCCTCCTGCCCACCTGCCTGGGAGAGACGGGCGGGGGTCGCCTTGGCCTCTACTATATTAGATGCCTCTGCTTCCAACTCCTCCAGATTTTAGGGAGAGAGAGGAAAAGGGGGGAGAGGGAGAGGTTTTTTGGTGGTTTTTGTTTTTTGTTTTTTTTACATTTTATTGTGGTGTTTTTTTTTACAGAGAGGAAGGGAGAGGGATAGAGAGTTAGAAACATCAATAAGAGAGAAACGCCGACCAGCTGCCTCCTGTACAACCCCTACTGGGGATGTGCCCGCAACCAAGTATTGTACATACCCCTGACCAGAATCGAACCTGGGACCCTTCAGTCCACAGGCCGACGCTCTATCCACTGAGCCAAACCGGTCAGGGCGAGGAAGAGTTTTCTTAAAAACTTTTTGCATTGAGTAAATATAACAGATAAATATTGAGTTAAAAACCAATTACAGTAGGTACATTTACACAATTAGAGCACCACTGTCAAAAAGGAAATCAATCCCCACCCCAACCCCCGCCCACACACCCACAAAAGCATGGATGGACCTGGAGAGCACCCATGTCCGGTGACATAAGCCAGCCAGAGAAAGACAAGCACCACATGACCCCACTCACATGTAAAATCCAAAGAACAAAACAAACAACATGATTAGGCCCTTTCCATTCGAAACCATATTGTACTTTCCCTCCTATTATTATTATTACCTACCACAGAAATGGTCCTGTAGATGCTTGTCAAGACACAGGCCGGTCCCTTTGCTGCCTCTCACAAGATAAATACTTCGCTCTTGCGACGCAGCAGCTTGTTGCAATGGCGGCTGCCTCTCCCAATAGTCTTCACGTGGCCAAAATAGCCTACTTCCCGCGATAGTAGCCTGTTTCTCGCGAGAGTAGCCTTCTCTCGCGATAGTAGCCTGTCTCCCGTGGTGGTAGTCTGTCTCTCACAATTTTAACAACTTCTTGCCACAGTACCCAGCCTGGAAGTTGGAAGTCATTTCTAGCACTTCTAGCTTTTTGCAGAACTTACTTGTCTTGTTTTCATTTAGGCCATTTGTAAAAGGAACTGCGGAGCCCGGGCTGAGGTGCTTTCTGATGTGTGAATTTTAATGTACACATATTTAAACAGTAACAGTCAATGATGGTGACGTGCAGCTGTAGACAGGCACATGGGGCATCCAAATGTGTCTCCTCCCTGCAGCCATCCATTCATTTCATTCATTCATTCATTCATCTATCTAAAGAATTTGATGGCAGAAGAAGCCGAAAGTGGCCAGTTAGAAGTGCATCCAAGTATAACCCGGGCTTGGATTCAACACTTGTCCCCTGATGACTGGATGGGAAATTCACCTCCTGAGCTTTTCTTACTGCTTCCTCACCAACCAAAGCTGGGAATGGGCGGAGATCATTCATGTACTGGTACCTAATGAGTTGTTTGATAACAAGCGAGTCTTTCTTTAAAGGCAAATTCTGAGATTTGCCATGAGAAAAAAGAAAAGTGTGATTTTTTTATTTTGATGTTTCAACGGAATGTAATTCCTAAGAGTGTCGTTTGCATTTGTGTAGCAATTACAGTCTCTGTCCCTATGAGTCTCTGGTCAATCCTGTGGGAGAGGCAGGTGAGACTTTCCTTTTTGCAGCCAAGCAAACCAGCGGAGAGTTAAGCAGCTTTTCTTGGTTAGTAGCTGGAAAGTTGGAAGTAAGTGGAGTGATGGACTTATTTCCTAGTGTATGCCACTTCAGAATGAACACAAGTCTTTTAAAAATAATTTTGCCCTAGCCAGTTTTGCTCAGTGGATACAGCGTCGGCCTGCAAACTAAAGGGTCCTCGGTTAGATTCTGGTCACGGGCACATGCCTGAATCGTGGGCTTCGATCCCCATTGGGGGAGGAGGGAGGAGAAGTGTGCAGAAGGCAGCCAACCAATGATTGTCTCTCATCATCAATGTCCTATCTCTCTTCCCCTCTCCCTTCCTCTCTAAAATCAACAAAGATATTTTTAATGGAGTTTTAACTGTGTGATAATCATTGACCTCAATGAGAGGTGGCAAAGCCGCTGAAGCTCAGTAAGGGCGGCCAAGTGCATGCACTGGTTCCGCAGCTGCAGGGGAGACCAGGGCCTGCAGCTGTCACTCGGTGTGATTTCAGAGGAAGGACAAGAGGCAGAGTGTCTCAGCTTGTGTTTGGCTATTCGTAATCTCTAACAATGGTTTCCAGCCCGGGAAATGTATTCTCTGTCTGTCTTCTTTAATCCTTCACCATCCCTCTTCAGGCTCACCCCTGGCCATGCTGGATGCGGTTCAGTCGCCATTCTGTATTACAACCTCATGACTTAGTTTACAACTGAAAGTTTGTAAAGCTTTTTACCATCCCCCATTTCTTCCTCCCTCAACCCCTTTGGCAACCACCAATCTGTTTCCTGTATCTTTTGTTGTTTGTTTTTAATTCTACATACAAGTGAGATCATACTGTATCTGTCTTACTCTGACGTGTTTCACTTATCATATGCCCTCAAGATTGATCCTTGTAACATTGTGCAAGATTTTATTATTTTGTGGCTGAATAATATTCCATTATATATCTTTACATCTTCATTCATTTTTCCAGTGATAGAAGCTTAAGTTGTTTCCATGTCTTGGCTATTGAAAATGCTGCGATGAGCCAAAGCCTGTTTGGCTCAGTGGTGGAGCGTCAGTCTGCGGACTGAAGGGTCCCGGGTTCGATTCCGGTCAAGGGCATGTACATTGGTTGCGGGCACATCCCCGGGGGGGGGGGGGTGCAGGAGGCAGCTGATGGATGGGTCTCTCTCATCGATGTTTCTAACTCTCTATCTCCCTTCCTCTCTGTAAAAAGTCAATAAAATATATATTTTTTAAAATGCTGCGATGAATACAGGACACATATATTTTTAAAATTGTTTCTTTGTGTGTTTTTTAATCCAGAAGTGGGTTGATAATGTGTTATTGCAAATTTTTCAAACCAGAGTATATTTAGGAGGAGCTGTGTAAGAATTCAGAAAAGCTTTTTCAAAAGGATTTCAAAAGGTTATAGACCTATGACACATCAATCTCCCACCAAATACGTCTATAATTTGGTAATTTAAAATGATACTACTACCTGCTTGAGTTTGACGCATTTTCTCATCTGTATAATGAGGATAATACTTGCTTCATGGAGAACATGTGAAGATTAAGTGGAAAAAATATGACCCATGACAGCCCTGGCCAGTGTGGCTCCTTTGGTTGGAGCATTCTCCCCGCACCGATGGGTCATGAGTTTGATTCTTGGTCAGGGCGCATGCCCAGGTTGCCGGTTCAATCCCTGGTCAAACCTTGTCAAGTTGAACCTGGTCAGGAAGTGTACAGGAGGCAACTGATAGATGTTTCTCACATCAATATTTCTCTCTCCCTCTCTCTCTCTCTCTCTCTCTTCTCTCTTTCTCATCAATAAAAACATATCCTCTGGTGAGGCTTAAAAAATAAGTATATATATGGGCCATGACAGGCACATCGTAAGTATTCCAGGCATCCCACCAGAGCTATAAGTTTATCTGTTTTGTTGTTAACACTGATATTCTCTCTGTTAGTTAGAACACAACTGAGGAACACAAAGAGAATGTTTTTATTCTTTGATATATAAAACCAAGAAAACTTTAACACGTAATACAATATTGTTTGTTTTTTAAAGAAAATGGCAGAAGTATAGACCTGGGTAGAAAAATACACTCAAGCAGCTATTCCAAGCAGTTTGTAACTCCTAAAATTCTGAATAGCACACAATCTTTTTTTTTTTTCTTTAAAAAAATTATTCACATTTGCTTAACAACTTAAAACATGGTAAGAAATATAACTTTATTTCTTGGTAACAGACCCAGTTATATCAATAAGATACTCTTCAGCCAGCAATAACTTAGTAAAATAACATTTCCTTTGTGGTAGTATGTTACATTAGAGTTTTGGTTTTATAATACATGTCATGGTTAAAAAAAAAAAAAAAAATACCTCCGACTGCTGGGGCACCAAACAAGGTGCTTGCACAGTTCATTGGAACCCATGGATTTGGGAGTGTGTGCACTCTCACTAGGACCTCAAAGTGGGGAGTGTCTTTGGTCTTCCCTGTGCCAAGGGAAAAATGGGTAGAAGAGAGACTGGCATTCAAATAAAAAAACCGAACATAGGCGCAGGGCACAAGTACTCAATAAAAGCTATTTCTGAACAATAAATACTTTATGCACAAAAGAAAGATACTTTTTTTTCACTTAACAAGTTCAGGAAAAATGAAAACAGTGAGATAGTTTTTAGACAGTCTGACATCCATGAAGGAAGGACAGGTCTGCCATTGACCAGCAGGGGGTGCTGGGCCACCGGAGAAGCAGCTTGCATTGAAAAAGGCCACCTAAAAAATATTGTATATGAAAGCTTTATTTGGTCAAAGTTTAGTCCTCAAAATATAACTGTAACATTTTCTCAATATCGGATTCAAACATAATATACACTTCATATAAAATTTCATTGGTATAAACATGAATAAAACATTCAAAATTCCCAAATATGTAAATATTGCTAAAAAAGATCAAAGGGAAGTGGCAATGGATTTAATCCGACATAAAAAACCATCACGTTTCATATGAAGATATTTTAAAATGAAGGTAACAGACATAGTCCCAAATGTCTGTGAGCTTTCAAAGGCTTGTCTGGAGGTACGGTAGGGTTGTCCACCATTTCTAGGGAAACATTTCAGAAATTGTGCTCAGAGTCAGTGAAGTCATTGGAAAAGACTGGTTTTTTAACTCCAAGTAAATACTGGCTTTTGATCACAAATGGAATTGCCAAGCAGAGCTGGCTGCTTTCCTGAGGGCTGCTGATAGACCTCGGGGCGTCCCAGGTCACGGGCATGACCTCGGAGAGCTCCTTTTCCCAGTGAGGTCTGGGGGTGCAGCTCCCATTTGGCTATTTGAAACAGGACTATGAACTGACCATTTGAAATTTGTCTTCTACAGTCACACCTCTTAGAGATGTGGGTGCGTCTGTTCTTAAAAACCAGTCTTTCCCTTCTCGCCATGTACCTTCTTCGCTGCGTCCAGCCCACCAGAAGGTTCCACGCGAAACGGAGAAGACTGTGGCCGCCAACACGTAGGTGTGTTTGCATCGCTGACGTTAAAAAACACGAATCTGTCCTTTTAAAGGGTAATTTTAAAGCTTCCTTTAAAAAAAATAAAGTCTTTTAAAAAAATTTTTTTAAAAAGCAAGTATTTTCGACACTTGGTCAGAAAATAACTTTACAAAGGCCCTGGACCTGCAACGGGCCTGGTGTGTGCACGCAAAAGTGGGCACCTTCCGTTTGTGGAGAAATTTATTTAAAAAAAAAAAAAATAGGCAGTATTTTTCATTTTCTGTCCATCCGTTGAAACATCGAGTAGGGTTGTGGAAGAAAAGGAAGGGATAAATAAAAATACAGAGGAGGAGGGGTGACATATACAATTATTTTCTTATTTAAACAAAACAAAAAACAAAAAAAACGGGAGGGGACTGGTCCCTGGGGCTGGGCCAGGATGCTACAGGGGGACGCCCGGCGGCGCTGCAGGCAGGGCGCCCCGCTAGAGGGTGACGGCCGGGCCGTGCTCCTCCACGCCGCCAGGGGGCAGCGCCAGGCTGTGGCGGGGGTCGGACCGCAGGGAGCTGATGAGCCTGTGGAGGCTGTGGAGGCTGCTCTCGCGGCTCTGGGCGCCGCCGCCGTGCAGTCCGGACGCCGGGCCCGAACCGTTGAGCCGGGTGAGGCCGCCGCCGCCGCCGCCGCCGGGAGGCGGTAGCCGCGGGGCCGCCCGGGGCTCCAGGTCGCCCTCCAGCACCACGTCGGGCTCCTCGTCGCTCTCCATGTCGTCGGCGGCGGCGGCGGGCAGGCCGGGCGGCGCGGGCGCCTGCAGGCTGTGGCGGCTGCTGGCCGCGCTGTCCGAGGAGCGGCCCGAGCTGCCGGAGGCCGCGCGGCCGCCGCGCAGCACGTTGTTGCGCTGGTTGGCCGGCTTGACAGTGACGATGAGGTTGTGGCTGTTGGCGATCATCATGTCCGTGACCTGGTCCAGCGTCTTGCCCGCCACCTCGATGCCGTTCACCTCCAGCACCTCGTCGTCCACGGCCAGCAGCCCCGTGCTCTCGGCCAGGCCGCCCGGCACCATGCGCGAGATGAAGATGCCCGGCACCTTCTCCAGCCCCTGCGGCGCCACCCGCACGCTCACGCCGTCGCGGATGTAGAAGCCCAGCGGCTTCTGGCAGCCGTGCCGGTACAGCCGCACGCGCCGGTGCGTCTCGGGCAGGATGTCCACGTCGATGATGGAGGACACAGGGCGGAAGTCGTGCGGGAGCCCGATGTGCAGGTGCGCGCGCCGGCGGGGCCCCTCCTCGCGCAGCGCCAGCGCCTTCTTGCGCCGCGAGAGCGAGCCGGTCGCCAGGCCGCCGCCGTGCTCGGCCTCCTCTGCAAGAGAAGAGGAGAGTCAGGACAGGGGACCCAGCGACAAAAGCACAACAAAGCAGCGCAGCCGCCTGCAGCCCGGGCTGCATCCGGCCCATCTCGGCTCTCCCTGCGGCTCACCTTTCAGCGGCTTCTCAGACTCTGCCCCCCTCCACGGGACCCCGGGGACCATCGGAAGAGTGGAGGCCACACTAACCCCAGCCCCCAAGTCACTCACACACACACACACACACACACACACTCTCACACACACACTCACACACCAAACACACACACACTCTCACACACACACTCACACACCAAACACACACACACATTCACACTCACACACTCTCTCCCTCTCTCTCACACACACACACACACTCACACACCAAACACACACACACTCACACACACACACTCACACACCAAACACACACACACATTCACACTCACATACACTCTCTCTCACACACACACACACACACACACACACTTCGGGGTTGAACTGTCTGTTCATTCTGTCACATTTTCCCGTTCTGGAAAGCATCAAACATCCTCCAGGGTAATGATATGCTCACAGCCATCCTGGTAGCAGCTGGGCTAGCCCAACAGTATTCACCATGAGGCCAAGTTCAAGTGCAGCCACGTCCCCCCAATGGACTTCCAACCAATCTCAAAACCGCACCTGCACCCACGGCAACCAATGAAACGATGGGAAGATTACGAGGTACTAACAAGACACCGCGATACAGAGAGTGAACAATAGACGGAAGGGTTAGGAGTGCCGGTCAGTTCTGGGAAGATGGTGGAGAGGAAGTACCAGGAATTTCTCCCCAGCAGGACAGAAACTGTCTGGTGACACCATTTGGGAACTCTGGAGTCTGCATTGAAGGTCTGCAACTTCAAGAAGATGAGTTGGACAGTAATAATGGTCAATTTTGGTAAATTCCATTGTCTAGCACAGTGAGGCTGCCCATGCCCCCCCCCCCCCCCCCAACTCCCTGGCAGGCAGCTGTGCACGTGGTTTCTGGTTTCCTACACAGCAGCTCCTACAGACTGTGGAAGCCAATGTGGTCAAAAAGACTGTCTTCCAAATACTGGGAGCCAGTGCCGATGGCTGATTGCTGCTTCTGGCTAAAAGAGATGCAGACAAAGAGATGGGTAGCCATGGTCGTTGCCCCTCCCCCTAGGTATGAAGCCCCTCCCCAGCTCAAGTGGCTTCTGTGAGATTTAAAGGGAGAATGTCCGGGAGCCAGACATTAAAACTAGGATGTTCAAAAACAACTGTCACCTTGGCCTGGTGGCTCGGTTGGGGTGTTGTCTGGTGAACCAAAACGTTGCGGATCCAGTTCCTGGTTAAGGCACACACCCAGGTTGCCCATTCGAACCCCGATGGGGGTGTATACGGGAGGCAGCCAATCGTTTCTTTCTCTCATTCCTGAGTTTCCCCTCTCTCTAAAATCGATGGAAACATATCTTCAGATAGGAACTTTTTTTTTCTTTAATCACAAAAACAACTACACATAGAGGAAAATTACAAAGTGGCAACACATTCCCAAAGAAGACCCGAGGAAACATCTCAGGCTCATTCGAGGCACAGAGAGAGCCTATAAAAAAAAATAAAAATAAAAGACTAAACCAGCAAACCCTGGAGAAGGGGGAGAATCTGATTCCCAGAGTTAAGTTATTAGATCCAAATGTCCAGTGTTCAAGAAAAAAACCACAAGATATTCAAAGCCACGGGAGAGTATGTTCCATTAAAAAAAGAAACAAGCCGCCTCCTTCCCAAAACTACTCTGAAAAGGCAAGGCCAGAAAGCAAATGTGAACAAACTGGAAATATCACTACATGATAGGAAACCTAAGAGGAAACCAAATAGAAATTCTGGAGCTGAAAGGTATAATAACTGAAGTACAAAATTCACAAAATACACTAGGGGGGTTCAAAGTCAGCTTTGAATTAGCAAAAGGAGGAATCAATGAGCCTAAGCTAGGACAATGCATTATTATTGCTGAGAAACTAAAAGGAAAAAATTGGAGAAAAGTGAATGTGTAGTGCCTCAGGGACCTGTGGGACACCACAAAGCACACTGTAAACAATAATAAAAATGGAGTCCCTTTAAAACGGAGCCAGCCGGAGCTGCCCTCCCAAAGGAACTGCCTTGCATATCTTATGCCTCAAATCTTTGGATATGAAAGCAGGACAAAATAACTTTGGACTGGGCCTAAGCAATCTTGAGCCCTCCCTCCCCCCCAATTGTTTGCAAAGATAACAAGAAAACAGTTATTATGACTACTAGATTGATGGCTACTCAACTGAAAATTGAGAGCATTATTTAGAATTGGCGACACCATGTTATGTTATCTGCATCTGTAGAAATGCCTTCCTTCTATGGATATAAATGTTCCCCTCCCCTTTCTCATAAATACCCATTGCCTTTGTCTCCTTACCAGAACACTATTTGAGCTTCTACCTGAATCAGTGCTTCCTGGATAGCTATTCTTACTGATCTCAAATAAACATGTGTTTGCTTCTCATCTTGAAAGGCCTTCTATTTTAGGCCAACAAAACCAACATGTGCATCATGGGAGTTCCAGAAGAAGAGAAAGGGATGGAGAGAGAATATTTGAAGAGGAAATGCCTGAAACCTCTCAACTTTGATGAAATGCATGAATATAAACATCCAAGCTCAATGAACTCTATGTAAGATGAAGTCAAAGAGACCCAAACTGAGATACATTACAATCAAATTTTCAAAAGACAAAATAAAGAGAAAATCTTAAAAGTAAGAGAGAAGGTGGGATGCCCTTGCTGGTCTGGATCCATCCCGCTGTTGTTTGCACCAATTGTTGGGAGCCACCTAGAGGCTGCTTTTATATCGTTTCTTCCTTGCAGAGCATCTAGGAAGGGAAAGCAGCCCCGGTGCCCAAAGCCAACTTACAGGAGGCTGGAGGTGCTGTAGAGTCGTGCCAGGGGTGCAGATCCATTGGTGCCTGGCCCTTTCTCTAGAGATTGGACCTGCAGGATTACTGAGGGAGTGTATGATTGCCGCTGGGCCAGTGGGCCCCCAAGACCAGTCGTTCGACTGAGTGCAGTGATTACAGGGTGCAGCTCCTGCATTGAGCATCTGCCCCTGGTGGTCAGTGCGTGGCATAGCGACCAGTGTCAACTGGTTGACTGGTCGACTGGTCATTCAGTTGCTTAGGCATATATATATATATATATATATATATATATATATAATTTCAATCTAGCAAGAAGATATAGCAATCAAACATTTATACATCTACTGAAAGCAAAAACTGACAAAACTTAAGGAAGTGAGTTTTATAATAGAAGTTGGACTTCAATACACAACTCAAAAATGACCAGAGAGAAGATAAGTAAGGAAATAGAAAATTTAACACAATAACCCACTATATCTAATGGACTTATACAGAACACTCCACCCAACTACAACAGCTCCAACCATTGAGCACACCATCCAGGGACAAATTGATTACTTAGATGAAATGGACAAATTCCTAGAAACTCAAAACCTGCAAAGTCTAAATCATGAAGAAATTTTAAAAAGCTACACATCAATATTCCTTATAAACATTGATGTAAAAATGTTCAACAAAATACCATCCAACAGCAGATTAAAAGGATTCTATAAGACCAAATGAGATTTTTCCTGAGATGCAAGGTTTAACATAGGGGGAAAATCAATTCAATAAGACACCTAAACAAAATGAAGTGGGGCGGACATGATCATCTCAATTGGTGCAGAAAAAACACCGGACAAAATTCCACACTCTTTCATTATAAAAATTCTCAACAAAGTAGGAATAGAAGGAAACACCTTAACATAATAAAAGTGATGTCTGAAAAACCCAGAGCAAACATCAGATCAATGGTGAACGACTGAAAACTTTTCCTCTAAGATCAGGAATAAGACACGGATGTCTACTTTCACCACTTCGGTTCAACACAGTACTGGAAGTTCTAGCCAGAGCAGTTAGACAAGAAAAAGAAAGAAAAGGCCTACCAATTGGGGGGAAAGAAGTAAAATTATCTCTATTTTCAGGTATGATCCTACACATAGAAAAATCCTAAAGACACCACAAAAAAAGTTGTTAGATCTAATAAATGAATTCAGCAAAGTAACAGGATACAAAGCCGGTACACGAAAAGCAGTTGCATTTCTATCCACGAGCAAGCAAGGAATGACTTGAAAAGGAAATGACCTGTCAGGCAGGTGCCATTGGGAAATACTGAGTGTTTGAAAAACAGCGTGTTTGGTTTATGGTGTGTGTGTGTGTGTGTGTGTGTGTGTGTGTGTGTGTGTATATATATATATATATATATATATATATATATATTATACCTCTTTTTTTTTTTTCTTTTGACATGGGAAAAGTATAAGAAAAGCACTGGGAGCAGATGGAGGCGGTTTATGGGGGCAGGAGATGAGGGCTGTCCACACAGACGAGAGGAGGAACCAGCCATCCGCAAAGGTGTGCCCACTCCCACACGCGCATGTCATGTTTGGTGTGGATGGTCCGGTGGAATTTTTGCTGCGTCCAAGAGCCTCCCCCGTTTGGGGTGGGAGCCGTCTTCATTGCTTTGCTAATGAAAACCTGACAAGAGTGCTGTTTCTCTCCATACCCTCCTCCTTTTGCCAAAGGCTGACCATTTCTCTGATTGGTGCCCCAAAGCAGCCATAGCGAGAACAGCTCACAGGCAACCACAGAACAGTCAGAGTGTCAACTACATGGTCCCTTCCTCATTCTGAGGATGTGAGATAAAATATGAATGGATTAAAAAGCAATAAACTGCCCTAACTGGTTTGGCTAAGTGGATAAGAGTATTGACCTGCAGACCCAAGGGTCCCTGGTCAGGGGCATGCAGGAGGCAACCAATCTATGTATTTCTCTCTCATCAATATTCCTCTCTGGCCAAAACCAGTTTGGCTCAGTGGATAGAGCGTCAGCCTGTGAACTGAAAAGCCCCAGGTTCGATTCCAGTCAAGGGCAAGA